GCTACGTCCTACTTGTCCTACAGTTCTTGGTTGAAGTATCAGCTGTTCAGACACTGCATTTCTTTCAGTACAGCAGAATATAGACGTTTTATACTTCTGTTTCAGGCATCATTTAAGAAGGATTTTTAAGCTGTAATTAATGACTTCATTAATAGTTGATAAATCATTTACTAATGTCTTATTATTATAAGTCAATTGTAGCTAAAATTTTTACATTGCAAAGTTGTGTTAAATCCTCCTCAATCATGTCACTCTCCAAAGTGAGCAGGGAGACCTCTCCAAGTCACCAGGACTATAGTTACAAGTTTTCAAAAGCAGAGTTATTCTCAAACCTGATATTCTACAAACTGGCAATCCCAATATGCTGTTGTTATTCATTGCTTCTAGTTGCTATAGAAAGTATTATCAATTGTTGTATTAACCAGCAGTAGAGCAATAAATTACAGCCTATAAAAGTTCATATATCACAGCGTCCAAGACATTCTAGTTATAAATGTGTTCATGTGAAAATAGCTATTTCAGGTTAAATTTCAGACTTGGTGTGAAAAGTTCTTGACTGTGAAAAAATCTGTATTCAAATATGGTTTATTAACTGACTTACTATATTAGATTTTAATATATTTTGTGTGTTCGCTTTGTGTTTTACATATGATTCTTTGCGAGGCACTTTGGTCTTCCGTTGTCTGTTTCCTTGCTGTTCAGAATATAGATTACTGTAAACAAGCCAGAAGGTGCACAAATCACCATCACATTTAAGAGGCTCTACCTTATTCATCTATTGGTAACCAAGAAGTTGCATTCAATTCCCCTGCTACTCTCACCCCAAAGCTGTGGTTTATTGGAATGAAATGATTTAGTGGCGTATACTGTGGTTATAATCACACACACAGATACTTACAAATCTTTGCAGCCTTCATACTTTTGTTTTTACAAAGTAAGAGTTTAACATAACGTGGTACCTTCTGTATGTTAAGTCCTGCTAGTGAGGTAAGCAAATGAGACAGAATTGGCTATTTTACCCATATTGCCTATTTCAATTGCATGTTTTTTTGTTGGTAGGGACTGAATCTCTGCTATCCACTGCTCAAGTTGGCCCTGTAAAGTTAGTATCAGTACAAAGTCAACTTTCTGTAACTTCTGCCTCTGTGTGGTCACTAATTTTATGATTTCATATCGTGGATATACATGCCAGCTAAACATGAGCCTTTTTAGACTTTTAATATAAATATTCTATATCTGTCCAGTTGTTAGACCGCTGCAGCACTCTGTAACTTGCAGAAATGCATTTATTTGCGACACTTCAGTGCTGGGACTTCATCAGGCAAATGGTTTGGTACCACGAAAAGCCATCGTAAATAGTGAATGGCTGTAGCTTAATTTCCCACATGCTATAGGAACGCAATAATTACAAAATGTCATTCCACTGAATGACAACTTTCAAAACCATGTAGAACGTAACACTCGTAAATATATTAAAACTGTTTATGTCGAGTGAGTAAACTCCTAGAATGTGAAAGCTTTAAAACCCTCAAGGGTCAAAACTGCATTGCCTGATGGAGGTCTAGTACCAGTCATCACAAATAAATTGTTTTTGCGGGTTAGATCGTGTGTGGGAGTCTTTTTGAAACTTTTGGAAATGCGCTTCTCTCTCTTATGCACCAGTCTCGTGACCTTAATGTGCAAAGAGGTCCTCTGACAGCTAAAACAGGAAGATGTGCTCTCTAAGATATCTGTGTCCTATTTCCATAGAACATGCTACCTGTGCGGTATAGTGTACCGACATACAGTCAGTTCAAGATATCAACGTACTGCTTCATACTGACTGGAAATTAAACGGTATGTGCACCTTCAGGCTTTATTTTAAAGAGTAAGGCATTTTAATTGTTTACATCTGTGAGTACTTTCTCTATTTCCTTTGTATATTATCCTGTGAGGCATATTAACAGTGGGAATACATTAGAATCAAACTTCTTTGCACAGCATATTGGCATTTTTAAGTACTCACTGTACACTTTAAACACACTATATGCACACTATATACTGCACACATGCTCAGAACTTATATGTAGTATAGACACAGCCTCAGTTACTTCTGACCAAGTTTGTAAGTGTTTCCTCTTTGTTGCACTGGCTTTTGCTTGAATGTAGAGAACAGGTGACTGAACATATTTGTGTGTTTTGAAATTTTGATTCACTATTTAAGTTATAATAGATTCCCCAGTCCAGAGGATCCCACTTTTGCACTTTCTCCAGAGGCTGCCATTTATTTAAAGAAGCATACCATGAAACCTCATGCATTCCATTGTCAAGCCTTGGATTTGTAACAAATGCAGACAACTGAGAAAAAGGTCAATTCAGCTGCCGTAGCTGCAGCCTCTGAAGGAGCCTGTGTGTGATCATGTGGGTGTGAACACTAAACAGAATGTAAATGCTAATATGAAACAGAAGTCTGTGAAAATGTTCAGTCAATCAGGTCATTGGCTGTCTAGAAGCGGAAGGTTCTGAGGTTTGGCGTCATGCTCAGAAATCTTAGAAGCTTTTCAGATGTGAGGCCAAATGACTCTGAGAATTTCCAACAAATTGTATTTCCTTTTACTAAATACTTCTAGGTATGCAGTGAAAAATTAGCTAAAATGTATTCTGATCACATCCTTTTCCTTAACAAGTGTCATTCCTACTTATACGATTATTTTCCAACTTTTGTGATGCTTTTTTTGTAACAAAAATCAGATGTACATCATTGTAGATGGGATTAATTCTGTTGACAGCAACAAATAAAATGTAAAAAACAAACAAACAAAAAACACCTAAAATCCTGTTGTGTCCCCTTTCAAGAGGATGGGGAAAATCACAGCACAGGATCTGTGGCAGCTGGGGTCTTCACCTGTCTCACTTTGTCCTGTAATACAGGCACTACTACGCTGTAAATTTCTTGTAAAGCCTTCAGTGTTTACAATGGGATCATCACGTGGAATGTTAACTAGGGTGTGTTTTACTGCACTTTTGTAAAAATGAGTAAATAACTCTAGCTGCACAATAAATCAAGAATGACCTGGAACAGGACTTGTGGTGTTTATTTATTCTGATGGATTGATGTACTGACTACAGTGGTGTCAACTAGCCCGGGGTTCTAAGGCTGTAGCGCAGAATCGTTTATGAGCAGTAAAAATATAGCTTAGGATACATACATCTGTCATTCTGATGATGCACTAATGCCCTTAAAAATGATATAACATAGTTGTTCTAAAGTGATGGTGTATTATTTTAGTGTTCATAATTCTTAAGTCAAAAGTATTTTTCTGTCATGTCAAGTTGTTTTTAAGATGGATACTGCATCTCTTCTCCTAAAGTATTTAAAGAGTTGATCACCCAAATGACTCTTTACTGAAATGTATGACAACAAGTATTTACAAAGCACGTCTGTTCATATAATTATGGCTGTGAACTACATAACAAGGACTAATTCCAAGCCACAGTTTGAGAACCACGGGTCTAGCTGCCTGCACTCACTGCGATTCTAACATGAAACATGAATTAAACACAGAAAAAAAAGTGTGATAACATATGTTAAAGTGAACAGATTTCATTTTTGGCCTGCTGCCAGAAAGCATCCCCACATCATGATGCTGCCACCCCCATGCTTCTCTGGATCACTCTGGCTGTGGCGCTGATTTATTGAGACATTTAAAGATTAATTTGAGGAAGCAAAGATCGATTAAGCTTTCAAAACTCACAAAGTTGTATTTTTTTTTTACAATAAGACAGTGATACCACCAAATTGGTTTTTCATCCATAATTTTCAAGGCTTGATTGCACAATGAACTTATGTGTTTTATTGTCGATGGGGATGCTTGAGCTTGAGTATGAGATACTGGAGAAGATCATAGCGTACATGTACAGTATGGCTGCCTGGTTAGGAATATAATTTCTGATTAATTTAAAGCAGTTCAGATTTAGTTTTAACTGTTTTTGAAATCTTCTTTATGTGGAGATTAAATTTAAGTTGAGTGTCAAATACAACCCCAATGTACTAGAATTCTGTCACTGAACTGATTTCTTGGTTTTGTAAATTAACTTTAAAATATTGTTGGTTTGATTTCCGAACTGAGAAACACATAGACACTATTTTTTCCAGGTTTAATATGAGGTGATTTTGAACAAGCCACTCTTGGACATTAACTATGCACGAAGACAGGATGTCTGCAGCCTGTGCTGGTGTCTTGGCGACCACATATATAACTGCATCATCTGCATAAAGTTGACATGCTACAGTGGAGCAGTTTAACGGCAGGTCATTAATTAAAAAGTCTGAACAGTAAGGGACCAAGAGTGGACGCTTGTGAAATGCTCATGTGGGTATTTAAAAACATTAATGTGTTCTGGTGAACTTTGACACATAGTTCTCTGTTCTGCAAATATGATGTAAATCAATCTATGGTCTCAGAGGAAAAAGCAAAAGAAATCAATTTGGACAAAAGCAAAGTATGGTTGACAGTATTCCCTTTTCAGTGAAATCTTCCTTTAAAACCGTAACTTGTATACTTCGGTGATCATCCACTGCGGTAGGTGGCGCTGTCTAAACAAAAATACTCCAAACGTGCGGACCTAGAAGTGCGGTCCTGTCGGTGCGGGTCCTGAGAGCGCAATCTCCAGCTCTGCAGACACTCTGTTGGAGTAGAAGGGAAAACCTCCAGGGGCTGGGGCCTGAATACTTGTTGTATGTACAAACTCAACTCTAGTGTCTTCTTTACTGTTCTATAGATGCAGGTTCTATGGGGAGTTGATCTACGTGTGACGTAAGAGAGCGTGATGACGCAGGAGTCGCAACAGGAAGTAAGAGCGCAGCCGCAACACGCTGTTTCCACACGAGCCGCTGTCATCAGTGCTACACCACGTACAAGCCGGTGAGCTGTGTGACTGGACCGTATCCTCAGTGTTTGTAGACGTTCATGTTGACTGAAGCAGCGCTGGTGTGGTGTCACGGCCTCCTGAGAGCTCTCTGCTGGCCAGCAGCTGGACGGCTAGCTCGGCTCAGCTCCGTGGGTCTGTTCCGCCGGGGGCTGACTCACATTCACCCTGTCTCTACAGACTGTCATCGTGCTCCAGTAATGTCGGCTTCATTTTGTTTTCAGCTAAAAGTGTGAATGAAATGTTTATGTGTTGTGGACTTTGAGCAACGTGCCAGGCTCTGGGAGAAGCACACTGAAGGCTCGCTGTTCCTGGTGTTAGATGTGATGCACAGGGTCTTGTTGAGTGCTGAGTCAAAAGTGAAGCACATTATGGTCTCAAATATGAGTTCTTTGATAGTGTACAGCTGGATCAGAACCGAAGGTGCTTTATATCTGTATATTAATGTGGTGATCTGGTGCATGGAAGTGCGACTATCTTAAGGAAGAAAGGCTAATGACTGAAGGCAGAGTGTTGCAGAAGTGACCTTATTGTGTGTGTGCTCAGCAGCAGGGCGGAGCCTCCAGCATGGCAGCGGCAGCAGGAGGAAGGCTGAGCTTCAGCAACATCACCGCCCTGGCTCCCATGGTCCGGGTGGGGACTCTGCCCATGAGGCTGCTTGCTCTAGACTACGGAGCTGATGTGGTTTACTGTGAGGTGAGGATGGCCTTCACCACATGTCATGTGTACTCAGTGCTACTGTCAGCATTGAAAAACATTGTCCTCTTCTGTTCCAGGAGCTGATTGACATCAAAATGGCCCAGTGTCACAGGGTGGTGAACGGTAAGAATCTGGATCCTCCATTCCTCCACACCACACACTGGCAGCTCATGAAACACATTTTAAATTGTGTGTGTGTTTGTCAGCGGTGCTGGAGACGGTGGATTTCGTAGCTCCTGACGATCGAGTGATGTTCAGGACCTGTGAGAGGGAGAAGGACAGAGTAGTCTTCCAGATGGTGAGTCAGGACACATTTGAACGAGGTCACACTACACTTTCCTCCCTCCATGTTGCTTTAGGTAAAGCAGTGAGCGTTTCTTTTGTTTTTTTAGGGAACTGCTGATCCAGACAGAGCCTTGACTGTAGCCCGACTTGTGTGAGTTCACAACCTAATCTCTGAGCTTTGTTTGTCTTCAGGGAAACACAGCGGCCACTTTCTCCCCTTCGTTAACTCCACTAAAACTGATCAGATCACCAAACAGTGCTTGAGCAGAGTAAAACCAACAACAAACTGATTCAGCTAGCAGTTAGACCAATAACAACCTTTATATGAGGTGTGTCACAGAAGTTCCAGGACTGGTGTCACAAAAGATATATTTCAAATTCAAACTACAAACCAGGAGTTTCCCCCTTCAGACAATCAACCAGCACATCTACAAAGAGATCCTGCGACGTTTGTTTCGTTCAGTGAGTGAGAAGAAACTAGAGTTGTGGAGTTGTGGCAGGACAAGTCGTGGTTGCTTCACCATGACAACGCGCCTGCTCACAATGCCCTGAGCATCCGACTGAGAAGAGAATCGCCGTGCTGGAGCAACCTCCCTTCTCACCCCACCTGACTCCGTGGGATTTTTTCCTCTTCCCCAAGCTCAAGGGGTCATCAAGGGGACCTATTTTGAAGACGTGGACGATATCAAGATGGCTGTGACGACGGAGCTGCCGAGGATCCCAGAAGAACCCTTCCAGTCCATTTTCTGTGTAACAGGGAGACTAGGCATGCTTGTGGAAGACGGCGGTGTTTACTCCACCTTCAGCAGTGTCTGCACACAGCCTGTTAGCTGAGTAGAGCAGCTTCACCCCGCACGCCAGCTTTCTGTCTCTCTGCGTAAACAACAGCTGTAGTGGATGGCTGTAGTTGTGACATGTAACAGGCCACAGAGTGACTGCAGAAAGAGAGTATCAGGGCCAAAGTAAGCATTTAAATGGATTTGGCCAATGATTTCTCATGTCCTGTAATGAAACAATGGGTGTATTGCATCAAATTATTCTAACGATAATGCTAATATCCAAGATCCTACCAGGTAGTGGAGCTCAGGGTTATTTTGTAGGCAGGCCTCTGCGTTATTGACATTCTCCGTCACTTCTGTGCTGACCTGCTGTTAACCTGTAGAGCCCAATGGACAAATTCACATCACTTTTTGGTTAAATTGCTCTAGAAGCCTTTAGCGTGCTGTTTAGTGTAGTGTATACCCAGTGAAACCACATGACTTGACTGTTTCAACAATGCTAGTTTCTGGTCTGTGTGATGAAGTGATAGTGATTTGAAAACATCTGAAATTTCCATCAGATTTAATCCTAGTTACCTGGAAGGACAAAATACTGAAATCTGATCTGACAGCAGCACTGTAGAGATGGTCACCTGCTGGATGTCCCTGACACAGACCACTAAGTCACTCACTTCATCCACCTCTGATGTCATATCACTAAAACAACACCCTTTCAACCGTTTGTACACCCCTACTCAGTCACGCAGTTTTTTTTATGTTTACTGTTTTCTACACTGTACAACACAACCGAAGGCTTCCGAACTTTGAATTATGGGTTACAGGCTGTGCTGTCTCTGTGTTGTACAGGGAGAAGGATGTAGCTGCTATTGATGTGAATATGGGCTGTCCAAAGGAGTACTCCACTAAGGTGAGTTGCTGCCCACCTGCTGCTTCTTTGACCTCTGACCCTCTGGCTGACCTCTGACCTCTGCTGTCCTGCAGGGTGGAATGGGAGCTGCTCTTCTGTCACATCCTGACAAGATTGAGGCTGTGAGTACTCCCACAATGACAGAATGACTTGAAGATCAACTGCTTCCATGAAGCTGTTTCTGTTCAGTATCAATTGTTTTTAATCATATATGGACAAAAAGACTGGTGGCTTTAAGTTCTGTGCTTTAAAAATAATGTTTCCCTCCCCTGTAGATCCTTAAGAAACTCGTTGCAGGAGTTACCATACCAGTGACATGTAAAATCCGAATCCTGCCTTCGGTAAGATGTGAAAATTCTTTTTTCCTCTTACACACGCCTGTTATCTCTGATTACACTGTTATTATTTTTCTAATTTCATTTTTGACCTTTGCTGCACGTATCTGATTTTTTTTGTGTGTGTATTGCTGGATACATTTCCAGCCCTGTACACTGTGGAGGGGTTTTGTTGCTCTGCCTTCACTTTCCAAAAGTCCAAAGGCAGAGTGCGCTGGCAATACGGTGCCACAAAACTACAACATGGCTCAATTCCAGCACAGAACCTGTGCTGCATGTCATACCTCAGTTTTTAACCATGTTTCCTTCCTGCCTTTTTATTGTGAACTTCCAAATTAAGTTACAGGTCACACTTGGCCAGTTAATGATTTTCACTTTTCCCTGTTCACCTGCTCAGCAGGTGTTTGGATCCCCAGTAGGGATAGAGTGAGATGGGTTTCTCTAGGCCAATGCCTATTATTGGTGTTTATGAAAGACAATGACCAGTATTTAAAACAGATATACCTTAAGTGTTATAGTTTAACAGCATGTGACAGCAGGGCACCTGTCATTAATTAGTAAAGATTACTATCGCTTCATATGTGCTGTAGCAATGGGAGAAATGATGTCAGAGCATCACAGGATGCTTGGACACTCTCTCTGTTTACTGTGAGACTGAATCAAACAGTTGGTCTCTTGCAGTTCTGGCTACTGTTCCTTTCATTTTGATAATCTTTCACTGTTCTGTCACTTTAGTTGCCAACTAAAGTTCTTCTTTTATGGCATTATTTCTCATGTTTTTCAGACAGTTTCAGGGTAATCTGTGGCTGCCTCCTAACTTAGGGGTTCTGTGAACAGTAGTTTCCTTTCCGTGTGCTATCTGAGCATCACTGAAACACTCGTTTCTCTTGGTAATCCTTGTGCTAAATCAGGGGTTTAATGAATAGTTGGTGAGTTGTGCATGATGTGGTTTTTCAGTGCTATCACTGCACCCTGCTTTATTGGATATTGGATATTGTGCATATTGGATTGTAGATCTTTTTTGGGCTTGATGTCTGAAAGTAAACCACTAATAAATACTTTGCAGTTCATGAACTGTTCATGATAGATGTTAACAAACTTAATCTGTAAAAGTGATGTTAGTGTAAAGTATTTGGCAACCATGGAAACATGTATGTGCATTAGCATGCGAGTGTGGGGATTTTACTCTTACCAGACAGTCAGATGTGTTTGTAGCCTGTAGTCTCGGAAAACGATCCCACAGTAATTCTACAAAATACTCTTCTTCTGTAGGATATTATTTACAAGATGCCTCGTTTTTGTCTTGTCTTTCTACCTGTTTGCCATTGAAGATAAAATAATTTATGAAGCTCTACAGTTGAATGAGCATCTGTTGAGCCCTTTGTGTATTAGCTCTACATAGGTATATATAGGTTGGGTTTGAGATATTTTATTTTATTTATGCTGTATTTTGATCCTTTTTTCTGTAAATGTATGGCACAAATACAAATGTGCGAGAGAAACATCTTTTCAGTTCCTCTGTATGCCCTACACATACAGAAAAATTGACAATACAAATCTTCTGTTCTCTTCTGTTCTTGGCCGATAACTGATTTTAGCTGGAGGAAACAGTCAGTCTGGTCCGGAGGATCGAGAAGACTGGCGTCACAGCCGTCGCTGTTCATGGCAGGTAAGCTGCTTCTCCACTCAGATTGTTTTATTGGAGAACACACACACATCAGCACCATGGAAGAACCGCATTTGCTGTGGTCTTAGTACTTTCATACATTTTTGCAATGGGTCTCTGGAAGTGCACATTTCCCTTGTCATGTACGGCCAGAAGAAACCTAGTCAAGTAAATGTTTACTGTCGATCAATATTTGTCATGTGTATGAACAGTTTTGGCCTGAACTGTACATACATAGATAACTTGGAAAACGCAGGGCCAGAAGATGTCATTTTTCAGCTTGTTCCAGAGACGTTAAAGAAAAAGTTTTTTTTTTTAAGATTTTTTTTTTCCGAAAGGTCAGAGCTCCAACATTTCGAAATTTGATTAGTTAAAATTCTACAAATTATGCACTTTAATCTGAACTACCCTGCAAGTCACATGATCCACGAGGCACATTCCATTACCAAAAATCTACTGATTAATATTTTGCTTTTGTCTATAAAATGTTTGCTATTACTTTTTTTTGTTTTGTTGAAAAGACAGTTTTTCACAGAACAAGGTCAAGCATTAAAATTGTTCATTTTAAACAGCAAAAAATGATCCAAATCACTAAATATCAAACTAGCTGCTGCTGATTTTTTTGTCAGTGCAGGTGATCTTTATTCATGTTGTGTTTAATGAATGTGTTGTTAAGGTTTAAGGAGGAGCGGCCCAGACATCCGGTCCACTGTGATTACATTCAGGCTGTCGCTCAAGCCGTTTCCATCCCTGTCATTGCAAAGTAAGTAACAACAACGACTCCTGAAGTGTCAGTTCTAACGCAGGAAAGCAGCTGAAACATGGCAGCAGGAGGGTGGACAGTGTCTGTAAAGGTAATGCTAACCAGACTCACTCCTTGATATAGAGATCAAAGCTGTGTGGTGAGTTTTTTAGAACTTCTCAATAAGGTGTCAGACTGTCCTTCCTCCGGACCGCCACTAGTTTCAGTTACAGTTGTAAACAACAGTTTATATAATCTTGTAGAGACCATGCATATCATGGCAATCTTGAATTTCCGATGTCTCCTGTAACTCTTAATATTCTGTAAAGGAATGATTGAAATACGTGTCTGTCAGAAAACAAAATCATGCGTTTTGGTTATTTAATAGTCAAACAGCAGAGGGTGTTGTTTCTATGTATAGACTGTGAAATCCTTAGAGGCAAACTTATGTTTTTTTGCCTTTATAAGTAAAATTTACTTGATTAGCTGAACAAGCAACATGTTTTTTAAAGCAAGTTTGGTTGTTATTCAGCTAATAACTGTAAAATTTTACATAATAGAGTGTCCTTTTAAACAACAGCAAGGAGAATTTTGAAGGCAGTTGTTTCACCCAACTACATAAATATGATGAGAACTCAACTGACAAAAAATATTTGTTGGGTTACTTATGTGAAGCATGTTTTGTCTTGGGATATTGATTTTTATTGCACTCTGAAAGACAAACAACAACAAAAAAATCCAAAAAAACATATCAGAGGATAGACAATGACTTTAAGCAGCTGTTTTACCAGTCGTTTCTCTCCTACCCTGTCACATCTCTCCTGCAGTGGAGGTTCTCTGGATCTGGTGAAGACCAACGCCGACATCGAGGAGTTCAGGATGGCAACGGGCGCCTCGTCGGTCATGTTGGCTCGCGCTGCCATGTGGAACGCTTCAGTGTTCACCAGCCAGGGACCACTTCCTGTCGATAAGGTCATGGAGGAATATCTTAAATATGTGAGTGTGTTCATCATGACAGCCCAGTGTTTTAAATATAAACCAATACGATTATACAAATATTCTACACACAGACATGGACCAAAGTATTGGCACCCTTGGAATCTTTCCAGAAAATGTTACTTTTAAAAGAAAAACCAACACAACTACATCAGTCCATATTCTACAGTTCAACAATTCTACAGATTCATTTAGCAGACGCTTTTGTCCAAAGCGACGTACATCTGAGAGCAGATACAACACAAGCAACGATCTTGTCAGGAGAAAACAACCTAGATCAGTGCCACAGAACAAATTCAAGTGTGATGCCAATAGCAGGCTGTGGGGGCAGTAATAGGATTTTTTTTTGTTAGTTTTTTTTTTTGTTACTTTGTTTTGATTGTTTGTTCATGTTCAAGCTAAAATGCCAAACACTCTTCTCCTTCTTTTCGCTCTTTTATGTTTGGGTTTTTGACTGTTGGTTGGGATGGGGGGAGATGTCTAACATCATCAGCTTACAGTGCTACAGTCATGAACGAAAGAATTGGCACCCCTGGAGTTTTTCCAGAAAATATACCACTTCTCCCAGAAATTGTTGCATTTACAAATGTTTTTGGTATACATGTGTTTATTTCCTTTATATGCATTGAAAAGATACAAAAAATCAGAAGAAAAAAGCCCAAATTTACATAGTTTTACACAAAACTCAGAAAATGGGCCAGACAAAATTGTTGGCACCCTTTTAAAACTGTGGGTAAATCATTTTATGCATGTAATGCTTGTTTAAACTCACTTGTGGCAAGTAACAGTTGCTGGTAATATAGAAAACACACCTGAAGCCAGTTAGTTCACTCAGCTTTTGTGTTGTGTGCCTGTGTGTGTCACACCAAGCATGGAGAAGAGAAAGAAGAGTCAAGAAGTGTCTGAGGACTTAAAAGCAAAATTGTGGAAAAATATGAACAATCTCAAGTTACAAGATCATCTCCAGAGGTCTTGAAGTTCCTTTGTGCACTGTGCGTAATATAATCAAGAAGTTTATAACCCATGGAACTGTGGATAATCTCCCTGGATGGGGATGGAAGAGAGAAATTGACTTAAGAATGCAACGCAGGATTGTTAGCATGGTGGATAAACATCTTCAGTCAACATCCACACAAATTCAGGCTGTTCTGGAGATTCAGGGTGCAGAAGTGTCAGCTTGGACGTACGTCATCATCTGAATGAGAAGAAGCACTATGGCAGGAGATCACGGAGAACCCCACTGCTGACAAAAAGTCAGAAAAAAGTCAGACTGGAGTTTACAAAAATGTACCTGAGTAAGCAGATGAGACTAAAGTAGAGCTTTTTGGAAAAGCACATCATTCTACTGTTTACAGAAAATGGAATGAGGCCTACAAAGAAAAGAACACAGCACCTAGAGTCAAACATGGTGGAGGTTCAAGATGTTTTGGGTTTGTTTTGCTGCTTCTGGCACTGGGTGCCTTGACGGTGTATAAGGAATCATGAAATCTGGAGACTATCAAAATATTTTGGGCTGCAATGTAGGGCCCGAAAGCTGGGTCTGCGTCAGAGGTCATGGGTGTTCCAGCAGGACAATGACCTCAAATAGCACCAAGAAATGGTTGGAGACAAAGTGCTGCAGAATTCTGAAATGGCCAGCAATGAGTCCAGATCTAAATCCCATTGAACACCTATATAGAGATCTCAAAATTACTGTTGCAAGAAGACACCCTTCAAATCTGACAGACCTGGAGCAGTTTGCTAAAGAAGAGTGGTCCAAAATTCCAGCTGAGAGGTTTAAGAAGCTTTTTGATGGTTATAGAAAGCGATTGGTTTCACTTATTTCTTCCAAAGGGTGTGCAACCAAATGTTGAGTTGAGGGTACCAACAATTTTGTCTGGCCCATTTTCTGAGTTTTGTGTAAAATTTTGTAAGTTTTGGCTTTTTTCTTCTGCTTTTTGTGTTATTTCAATGCACATAAAGGAAATAAACACATGTATACCAAAAAAATTTGTAATTGCAGCAATTTCTGGGAGAAATGGTGTATTTTCTGGGAAAATTCCAGGGCTACCAATACTTTCGTCCATGACTGTAGCACTGTAAGCTGATGATGTTAGCTATCTCCACCCCAGCCCAACCAACAGTCAAAAACCCAAACATAAAAGAAAGAAAAGAAGGAGAAGATTCTCACTTTGGAGAAGATTGTTTGGCATTTTAGCTTGAATATGGACTGATGTAGTTTGTAGTTGTGTTGGTTTTTCTTTTAAAAGTAACATGCCTTTCACACCTGCTGGTGGTTTTTTGGGTTCTGGAGGTTGAAGCAGGATAAGCAGTGTTGCTTTGTTCTGGTGCAGTTGTACAGTTACTTTTTCAGGTGATTTCTAACTGCTGATCTGCGCATGTTTCTGTGCACTGATGAACCAGTGGGGAAATGCTGACATTACTCTCCTGTGTTTTCCTTCTTTGAATGGCACAAGACAGCAGATGGTCAGAACAAGCAGGAATTGTTGTCTCGACGGATGGCTGACAGTGTGTGTGTGCTTCTGTTATGTTTTCCAGGCGATCCGGTACGACAACAATGCCTTTAACACAAAGTACTGTCTGTGTCAGATGCTGAGAGACAAGGTGGAGTCTCCTCTGGGGAAGCAGGTGCAGGCGGCTCAGACCAATGCAGATATCAGGTACAGGGTTATTGTAAGACCCCAGACCAATCATAAACCGGTGGAAGCACAGCACACTGTTGGTGTCTGGTATCAGGTGTAGTGAGGAATGATGTATTGTGACATGGTGTGAATGTGTGTTGTCACTGCAGTGAGGCGTACGGGCTGCAGGAGTTTTACCAGCAGACTCAGGAACAGCTGCAGACCAGGAGGGATGACCTAAAGAGCAGCAGCCAGCCAGACCAACCCATCATGGATGGAGATGTCACCACCATGGCTGTGAAGTTTGAACGGTCGGTTTGTTATTGTCATGATTAACAGAATACACATTTACAGGATTCCCTAAACCTCTAAATACAGATATCAGACTTGTGAAACATTTCAATTAGAATTAAAGCCGCGAGCGGCGATGGACGGGTCCTCGCCCTACGCTTGTCGGCCTTCGCGCACGGCGGGTTGTGGCGCAAACCTGCTCCGGGCGGGACTGT